TTAAAATTCAGCTACCGTAATCCTCTGAATAAAGGGACAGCGAAAACTGTTTTGGTGCAGGAGTACAGGGCTTTATTGGGCTTTCCAAAGGGCAGTGTGATACACTAAACTGATCACCAGGACTTCCTCTATTTATTAGACCCATGAGAATTTAGCTCCTATAAATCCCCTGATTAAAAACAATTTTGTTTCAATTTCTTAACACTGCTTTAATTCTGACTGTACTGCACTTGGAATAGTGTCAAGTGGTGTAGGGAAGCAAAAAAGGTCAAACAATTTGGAAATTATTGAAGCGTGGAAATCTGGGAAAAGAGTGTGACATTTGCTTCTCTCAGTTGAGGGCTCTTTTCAAACCACATTTGAAGAAAGTGGAGCATGCTTGAAGTCTTCCAGATGAAAGATTAAGAACGAGGAGGAATATCTGTGGCAACAACCTGGGACTGTACAGTATTGCTGCTGCTGTAACCTGGCCTTTCTGTTAAAGGAATTGGTAGTTTAACATCTTTTTTTTAACTGGCCTGAAACTTCATTGTGGCCGAGCGAAGTGAATAATCTTTGGCAGCTGGTTTAGAAACAGTACATGGAAAATTACAATTTGGCCAAAGCTACACAGCAAGTGTAGTCTGGCAGAAATGTGAGTATTTTGAGTTGTGTTACGTGAGGTATCTTACATAGATGGATAGAGGCCATGCCGTGCAAACAGACAAGAGGCCAAATGAGCAAATTTCACACCTGAGATCATTGAGGATTTCCCTGCACATGTACCTGGCAAATGGCAGTGACTTCCACCAGAGGCACCCCTGGGCATTGTGAAAGGGAAGTGCCAGGGACCTGATGAAGAGTCATCCAGACTTGAAACGTTAGTTTAATGTCTCTCCATGGATGCTGCCTGACCCGCTGCGATCTCCAGCATTTTTTGCTTTCAGTACAGCATCTGCAGTAATCTGCTCTGCCAGGGAGCCTGGTTCATTTCCACTCTCAGGCAAGTGTCTGTGTGCAGATTGCACGTTCTCCCTCTGTCTGCATGTGTTTCCTCCAGGCGCTCCAGTTTCCTCCCACAGGTCAATGATATGCAGGTTAGGGTGGATTGGCCTTGGGAAATTGCCCCATAGTGTCCAGGGATGTGCAGGCGAGGTGGATTAGCCATGCAGGGTTACAGGGACAAGGTGTGGCAGGGTGGGGGGTCTGGGAGGGTGTGTGGATCTGGGTGGGATGCTGTTCACAGGGTCATTGAGGACTCAATGGGCCAAATGGCTGCAGTAGGGATTGTAATAGTACAGCAGGCAGGTAAGCTGGAAGGCCATGAACAACAACATATCAAGCATGCATGCAGCATGGTGTGGTGTTTATGTAGCCTAGAGCTGATGAGACAGAGCAAGACATGAAAGCAAGGTAAGATGATCTCCAAAGGAAGTGCATGGCTGCTAGACTGAGGCTGCAATGCAGTGGTCTCAGTCAGGAGAGGCAAGAGCTGTCGATCAACACTTAATTGCTCTCATTCAATATAGAAAGCAACACCAGCACTTGTGTTCCAATGGGCCAACGCACCAATTGATGGTGTTAACAAGGGAGTTCTGGGATCTTGACCCAGTGACTCTGACGATATATTTCCGAGTCAGGATGGTGAGGTTGAAGCCAGATCATGGCAGAGACAGCAGAATGAAGACGGACTCTCTCTCAGCTATATCCTTTTATTCTTAAACTATTCTCTTTCAGTTATATTTTTTATTCTTTTTATTCTTAAACAATTCAAAATGGTGCTGGATTGTGGCGACAGGTGAAGCTATTCACTGTATTTAATGTATTATTCACTGTATTATTCACTGTATTATTTACGGTATGATTCACTATTATTCACTGTATTCACTGTATTATTTACTGTATTATTCACTATATTATTCACTGTATT